CAGGCCCGTAGCCAGCACTTTTGAATAGGGGTTCGAAAACAACAATAATATATTTGATGTGAAACGTGTGAATTTTGTAATATTCAAAAAAAGTGTCTTTGAGCTCTGTTTCAGACATTTTTATATTCTCAGTTTTAAATTCAATTGGTTTACTTTGTGTTACGTTGGTAAGTTATTTCACATAACATCTTTGAACTATTTTAGAGGAGGGGTCCTGAGCCACACCCCCTCGCCCACAGACAAACACACGTGTATCTTAGCATTATTGTCTAAGCATTTTAAGGTAAAATGCTACTCGCGATTTTTTTTTGTTCTTTGCAGATGTTAGCGCACATAAAAGTGACACGATTTCATGTCGAATTCTGTCTACAATTATTCATTTTAGTATTAGTCGATTTTGTATTATGTTATTTTATTTCAGCCCATCGTACAAAATGTAATAGGTAGAAAAGTGCATAGTACGTTTTAAAAACAATACAACATCCATGTAAACATATGGTACTAAATTAAGCTGGATTCATATTCATCTCGTCGCTTGAAAACTTTTGAAAGATACAGAGCTATTTGATATATGGTGTGGCAGTTTGTGTAGCAACGAAGTAAGCCCAGACTGTCAGTATTTGCATAATTGCATAGGGTTATTGACAAAAGATCAGCCCTTAGATCATTATAAAATGGACACATTTTCTACCATGCTAAATTCAAACGTATCATTGAAAAAACTAAAAAAATATTGATCTAACTGCTTATTTGTGTGTCTGCCTAATCCGTCAGTATATATTTTAGTCTATAATTGTTGCCAATAAATCTCCGAGGTTATAATACTACTCTGATTTTTCCGAAAATACACAGCCTGGATGATTGTGATATTGGGGCATGCCATTCTTGCTTTGAGTAAATATCTCTAAAAATTTGCAGTATCTCCAACTGTTTTTCAAACCAGACAATGCCGAAACCATATTTGAACAGGAGATTTTTATGTGGGTTTCCCATGTAAGTCTGTCGGTCTTGTCTAATAGTTTAAGCATGATATAACATATTTTGGGGTTCCAGCTATTTTTATCAATTTTAACAAATATGAGATACAACGCTTGAAATAACCACATCATAATGGCAGCCTTCCACATTCGTCCAACATCGCTACATTGTTTGTACAACTATTAACGCCAAGTAGATATCTGCAAAATGTTGTCTGTACCCTCTCGATTTTCGAATTTTCGTACCCCCATATCGCTACCATAAGAAATAGCTAGCACAATGATTGCATCAAACAAATTAAATGCACTAACCAATGGCATACCACCAAGGTATGTAAATTTGTTGGTTCACTGTAAATCTGTTTTTAGAGGGCGGTAAAATAATATGCATATAGTGGCAGTTTAGCAGCGGTCTCAATAAACTTCAATGACTACATCTCCTTTATATGAACCCACTAAAAATATACATGTAGTAAATTTTCTCAGACATCAAAAAAATTATGATTGAAAAATATGATTCATTGCATAGTTTCAATGCTGAAGCAACACTGTGGGGTAAATTGTTGGCTGCAAGGAGCTCTTCGACCTATACAACTCGTGATGTTAAATTTTCAGCATTTTTTTAATAATCTGTTCAACCCATAGCTGTACACTATTGTCCAATAACACAGGCTACACGTACTAATACAATAAGTTGACTACATTTGGCTGATACACTTAGAACAAAACAGTATATATGCCATCATTAACTTGAAGAATACAAAACTAATGAACCAAACTAGTAAAGTACAGTGTCGTGTTGCCGTCTCAATCCCGTTCGAACCCCACACTTTACTAACTGAGCGAACACTAGCACAAGACAAACGGACCTATTCAGGACCACCACATCCTTCAGAGAGTGACTACCATTACATTATTGTTTCAATGTTTTAATATTTAACATCAGCTGCTTGAACGCGATCTTCATTACACCATAGCGGAATCACCGAATAAAAGGTTGCCCATTTATAACAACATTTTTTTTTGACTTGCTGCTGTTGAGCCGAGACGTAACTTCGCGATTGACATTTAAAGCTTGCAGCCACCAAAATGCTCATTACTATACAATTTTGACTGAGTCTGATAGTTACCTCACTGAGTCAAGTGATTTAAATGATGATAATTAATATTGTTTGTTTTATTATGTTCTAATCTACGATCATCAATCTATTCACTTCCAAAATTTAGAAGGTTTAAATGAACCCACCAAACTACGGGCCTGATATGGTTAATTTAGTATAGTTGTAAACTACACCGTAATTAGAGAGTGTCACAAAATGGTGGAAAAGCGGCTGTGGTGGTCGCCACTTTATGAACAAAACAAAACAAAATGACAATTGCAACTGCGTTCAAGGCAAGTTGCACAGACTATATTTAGACCCTTGGAATACCTTCAGATTCAGCCCCTTTGAATACCTTCGAATTTTGACCCTGGGAATGCCTTCAAATTCAGCCCCTTTGAATACCTTCGAATTTTGACCCTGGGAATGCCTTCAAATTCAGCCCCTGGGAATGCCTTCAAATTTTGACCCTGGGAATGCCTTCAGATTCAGCCCCTTGGAATGCCTTCAAATTTTGACCCTGGGAATGCCTTCAAATTCAGCCCCTTGGAATGCCTTCAAATTTAGAACCTGGGAATGCCTTCAAATTCAGCCCCTTGGAATGCCTTCAAATTTTGACCCTGGGAATGCCTTCAAATTCAGCCCCTTGGAATGCCTTCAGATTCAGCCCCTTGGAATGCCTTCAAATTTTGACCCTGGGAATGCCTTCAAATTCAGCCCCTTGGAATGCCTTCGAATTTTGACCCTGGGAATGCCTTCAAATTCAGCCCCTGGGAATGCCTTCAAATTTAGACCCTGGGAATGCCTTCAGATTCAGCCCCTTGGAATGCCTTCAAATTTAGACCCTGGGAATGCCTTCAAATTCAGCCCCTTGGAATGCCTTCAAATTTAGACCCTTGGAATGCCTTCAATTCAGCCCCTTGGAATGCCTTCAATTTAGACCCTGGGAATGCCTTCAAATTCAGCCCC